CCAGAGTGTGATCTACACTACCAGTTGTCGACATATTTTGAGTGGCAGCTGCTGTCCAGAGTGTGATCTACACTACCACTTGTCCGACATATTTTGAGTGGCAGCTGCTGTCCAGAGTGTGATCTACACTACCAGTTGTCGACATATTTTGAGTGGCAGCTGCTGTCCAGAGTGTGATCTACACTACCAGTTGTCCGACATGTTTTGAGTGGCAGCTGCTGTCCAGAGTGTGATCTAAACTACCAGTTGTCCGACATAGTTTGAGTGGTAGCTTCTGTCCAGAGTGTGATCTAAACTACCAGTTGTCCGACATATTTTGAGTGGCAGCTGCTGTCCAGAGTGTGATCTACACTACCAGTTGTCCGACATAGTTTGAGTGGCAGCTGCTGTCCAGAGTGTGATCTAAACTACCAGTTGTCCGACATAGTTTGAGTGGCAGCTGCTGTCCAGAGTGTGATCTACACTACCAGTTGTCCGACATAGTTTGAGTGGCAGCTGCTGTCCTGTGTGATCTACACTACCACTTGTCCGACATGTTTTGAGTGGCAGCTGCTGTCCAGAGTGTGATCTAAACTACCAGTTGTCCGACATAGTTTGAGTGGTAGCTTCTGTCCAGAGTGTGATCTACACTACCAGTTGTCCGACATAGTTTGAGTGGCAGCTGCTGTCCAGAGCGTGATCTACACTACCAGTTGTCCGACATAGTTTGAGTGGCAGCTGCTGTCCAGACTGTGATCTACACTAGCAGTTATCCGACATATTTTGAGTGGCAGCTGCTGTCCAGAGTGTGATCTACACTACCAGTTGTCCGACATAGTTTGAGTGGCAGCTGCTGTCCTGTGTGATCTACACTACCACTTGTCCGACATAGTTTGAGTGGCAGCTGCTGTCCAGAGTGTGATCTAAACTACCAGTTGTCCGCCATAGTTTGAGTGGTAGCTTCTGTCCAGAGTGTGATCTACACTACCAGTTGTCCGACATTGTTTGAGTGGCAGCTGCTGTCCAGAGTGTGATCTACACTACCAGTTGTCGACATATTTTGAGTGGCAGCTGCTGTCCAGAGTGTGATCTACACTACCAGTTGTCCGACATAGTTTGAGTGGCACCTTCTGTCCAGAGTGTGATCTACACTACCAGTTGTCGGACATATTTTGAGTGGCAGCTGCTGTCCAGAGTGTGATCTACACTACCAGTTGTCCGACATAGTTTGAGTGGCACCTTCTGTCCAGAGCGTGATCTACACTACCAGTTGTCCCACATAGTTTGAGTGGCAGCTGCTGTCCAGAGTGTGATCTACACTACCAGTTATCCGACATATTTTGAGTGGCAGCTGCTGTCCAGAGTGTGATCTACACTACCAGTTGTCCGACATAGTTTGAGTGGCACCTTCTGTCCAGAGCGTGATCTACACTACCAGTTGTCCGACATATTTTGAGTGGCAGCTGCTGTCCTGTGTGATCTACACTACCAGTTGTCCGACATAGTTTGAGTGGTAGCTTCTGTCCAGAGCGTGATCTACACTACCAGTTGTCCGACATAGTTTGAGTGGCACCTTCTGTCCAGAGTGTGATCTACACTACCAGTTGTCCGACATATTTTGAGTGGCAGCTGCTGTCCAGAGTGTGATCTACACTACCAGTTGTCCGACATATTTTGAGTGGCAGCTGCTGTCCAGAGTGTGATCTACACTACCAGTTGTCCGACATATTTTGAGTGGTAGCTTCTGTCCAGAGCGTGATCTACACTACCAGTTGTCCGACATAGTTTGAGTGGCACCTTCTGTCCAGAGTGTGATCTACACTACCAGTTGTCCGACATATTTTGAGTGGCAGCTGCTGTCCAGAGTGTGATCTACACTACCAGTTGTCCGACATATTTTGAGTGGCAGCTGCTGTCCAGAGTGTGATCTACACTACCAGTTGTCCGACATATTTTGAGTGGCAGTTGCTGTCCAGAGTGTGATCTACACTACCAGTTGTCCGACATAGTTTGAGTGGCAGCTGCTGTCCAGAGTGTGATCTACACTACCAGTTGTCCGACATGTTTTGAGTGGCAGCAGCGGTGGCTGAGTGGGTTAGATCACTGACTTTGTGTGCTGGCAACTCTTGAGAGTGAAGGTTCGAATCCTGGGTGGGACTCAACCTGACAAAACTACTACTTGACTGAGAAAGTGTAAACCAAATTTAACATCGTCATTGTGTGGTGGGTAGCCAAGTGGTTAATGCATTTGCTCATGACGTCAAAGAGTGGGGTTCGATTCACACATGGGTACAACATATGAAGACCATATCTTAAATCTTCTTGCTGAAGGACCTGTGAAGAATGATGTCAGCATGAGATGAGAATAACTACTTGCAGTGGGGTTGAGCAAAATTTCAGCAACATTACATCTATGTGAGTGAGTGAGTTTAGTTTTACGCTGCACTCAGCAATATTCCAGCTATATGGTGGCGGTCTGTAAATAATCGAGTTTGGACCAGACAATCCAGTGATCAACAGCATGAGCATCGATCTGCGCAATTGGGAACCGATGACATGTGTCAACCAAATCAGCGAGCCTGACTACCCAATCCCATTAGTTGCCTCTTACGACAAGCATAGTCGCCTTGTACGGCAAGCATGGGTTGCTGAAGACCTATTCTACCCCGGATCGTCAAGGGCCTTACATCTATATGTGTGTGTGTGTCTTCATGTTGATGAGGGTACGCTTTAACCACCACCCCGAATATTGGTGATAAATGTTGAGATATTGGTTTCGGTTTAATCAATAAGAACGATCAGAAAAAGGTTGGAACTGGAAATGTTACCCGCCAAAGAGAGTCTGAATTTCCGGGGGCGGTGGGGTAACCCAGTGATTAAAGCGTTCGCTCGTCACGCCGAAGACCCGGGTTCGATTCCCAAAATGGGTACAATATGTGAAACCCATTTCTTGTGTCCCCCGCCGCAATATTGCTGGAATATTGCTTGAATATATTCAAGTTTTATGTCAGCTGTAAACTGAAACTTAATTAACTTTTAGCTGATGGTTAAGATGGTTATTTGTGTTTGTCTGATGTCTAACGTAGGTCACACATGATATTTTCACATGGCACTTTCCATCTTATGGTGAGATAAGCAAAGGAAAGGGGGAGGGTGGAAATCGGGAAATTCAGTGTTAGTGTGAGTGAGTATGGTTTTACGCTGCTTTTAGCAATTTTCCAGCAATATCACAGCGGGGGACACCAGAAATGGGCTTTACACATTGTACCTATGTGGGGATCCGAACCCAGGCCTTCGGCGTGACGAGCGAACCCTTTAACCACTAGACTAACACACCGCCCCTGTAGAGCTAAGATGGCTTTGTAGGAGCGAACCCAGGCTCCGAAGACACAGTGACAATGATATAGCTTTTGTGACAACTGGAACCCACGAAAAGGTGAGGTGAGGTGAAATTGGGTTGAACGTCGTGCTTGAGAATATTTCGCTCACATGACGACGTGCAACTATAAAGTCATTTGCAAACTATAAATGACAACTAAAAAGTCATTTGCATATTTTCCGGAAGTGACGTATTGTGTACCTTCACCTGCAAATACAGCACACGGCTCGCTTTTTAAAAAGCGGAAAAAATTATTGTTATCGTGTATCCAAATGAATAGAAGTCTCAGATGTTTTGGTTAAAATGATATTACTGATCTCAATTCCGAATTTCCTAAATAGTTTTTAATATTTAAACTAGTTTAGATTGTCCTAAGTAAACGTTTGACAATGGTTTGTATATTGTGATCGTGTTGAACGAGGTGGGACTATGTGCGACAGAATTGAAGAAAAAACATCAGTCAACCGAAAATATATATAAAAAGCCAAATGTCAATAAGTGTTCATAATCCCAATACCGATAACATTACCCATCGCTTTAATGGAGGGGTCCCATGATGCATGTCTCGGCTACACGTAGCCGATGCCATGATCTGATATGACCCTGCATCATGTCTTGACTGTATAAGAACGCACGCTTCTCTCAGCTAGGCTACCCGAACTGTACATAGTGTCTTGATTTCGGCATTACACAGCTACGGAATCTTACCTGTTCACCTCACTTATTTTCGCGTATTTGTAATCGTAAAAGTAACCTATGAATTCAGTACTGAATCCGAAATAAAGACACTGTCAGTCTTAGTTGACATCACGTGCTAATCAAAGTTAGTGATAAATCAAAATGCAGCGCCGTTTCTTTGACTTTTGACGACAGCTCATGCTGTTGACGTGTCGATATTGGATCTCTGAGAATACATGTCAGCTTGTGCTCGCATTAGCCGTGTATGCTGTTTTACAGAATACCCTGCAAGCGTGCGCGACACTGTTTCAGCCAATCAAATGGAGCCTGAAGCCCTCATGTGTGAGGTGTTATCGGAAGCGCCCAGTTTCATCGGCATGCACATGGATTTTGTAAACACATCCCAAAACGTTTTTTTATGTGTGAATTAAGGCTATGATACATATCTTTGTGAATATCTTAACTGGTATCAGCGTGCATTATTTCATTTTCAAGACGATTATAGAAAACAGACCTGTAAACCTGGCCTGTGTCATTGGAACCAATATCGATCGTATTGACGGTTCACATATATACGGCATATACACGGCTGATGCAGCCTGTTTGCTGATCCTTTTTCCTTTTGTAATTTATTAATGTTTAATGTATATTACATGTCTTTGTGGAAATAAAATACTGTTTAAATCAAATCTACAAATTATCATCATCATCATCATCTTTGAAAGAAATGTGTATCATGACGTCGGCGATTTGATTAACAAGCATCATCCTGGAAGATACTACCCCATTCCTCTTGCCCCTACAGTGTGCACAGTACTAGTATATTAAAGGTAAGAATACTATGTTGTTTCACGTACCCTGTACCTATACAGGTAACTTCGGCCAGACGCAGAAATATATACACATGCATAAATACGTTTTCTGCAGCAAAACTAACGACACACATTATCAGATGAACTTCAGGTAAAATTTGATACTTTTTTTATTTACATATACATGTATTCTATGTATTTGAGTGAAACAGAAAGGTTTTCATTCCTGGACGCCAGCTTGGACAGTACAAGTCAACCAACCGTGGGGTACAGTCCTGCATGTTGGGTTGGACAGCCTGGAGTCATCTGCAGAATGAAGAAATATATTTATTCCAGGAAGCATTGCATTATTTGTTATAAAAACGAAAATGTATAAACCCTTCACTGAATGTTTTGTATGTATTTGGTATAATTGTGAAAATGCATATTTAAAATTCTTCAGTACGGCGACTTGTATTAGTCTTCGCACATATTTTGACAGAATGCAACACAATTAAATTTCAGTTAGATTACGCAATTCGTTCTATCACACACGTGACACTGTTTTCCTGCGATGATTAAGCCGGAATAAAGACAAGGCCGAACGCGGTCAGGCATAGTTTATGACTGCAGTTGGATATCGCTGAATATACAGGTGGGAGACTGGAGACCTGCAACAGGTGTGATGCAATACAGCACGTTATTTCGGGGTATATACATATAATGGGCTTGCAGACAGCTTAGCCGGCTGACAGTCTGGTGGACACGGCGATTGTGCAATTTCCTGCATACGGTGCTTTTATGGTCCGTGGTGTAATATTTTATTATCGCTTAAAAACACATAATTAAATGCTAATTATTCCATTTCGTGTTTGTGTTTGGATAAACTGTGAAAGGACACAGAAATGTTTATTCAGTTGTGACAAATATTCAGTTGACATGGAGCTGGGCAAAATCTGCTCATGGAAATGGCATCTTTTGCCAATTGAACCGATCACGTGATGACGATCTCTTCATCGTCAGATATATCGCCATGATCGGTACCCTCATGATTAATTCAGCAACTCACTGAAATATTGAAGAGTTTACATATTCATGAGTGAAAAAAAGAGTAAAATTGTTTGGTATGATTACATACTCAAAATATTGTCTGTAAAACAACTGATAGACGACTTTTAAACCGATATATTATGGATATTGTTATTGTGTTTTGCATATATAGTGTTATATTTTGGTAAGGAGGAGCTATTCTTGTACTTCGAAGACTAATCTTCGAAGGGTATTTGAAGATGCTGTGCGTCCTTGTGAACATCATCGGCTTTTCTCTCTTTTAGTTTAAACATATTTTATTTCGGAATACAAGAAATGAGGATCGATGAACAAGCCACGGGCTTATGCAAACACCTATCCCGTACAACACAGAGAAAAAAATATAATTTTGGTGACATCATAAAATAATCATTTGAGTGTAGTTGGTAGAGTGTAATCAATATAGCAATTACAATGTCGTATGTTCTCTCTTTTATTTTGGTAGATGCATTGCACATATACGTACATCTGTTAAATGTCGCTTTTTTGTTGTGTTATATGTATTTCTATACTAAATGTGTTTATGATGACAATGATATAAAACATTAGGAAATAGATAATGTAGTCCACCAGTGTTGCATCTAGGATTTAACCATAGTGGGTCAAAGTGGCCCACTGTTTTAAAATCAGTGGGTCACTCATGTATTGACAGTGGGCCACTGTTCTGTGAGTCACTCCTCACTGTTACGATCTTATAAAGACAATAAACAATATCATGTCTTTTGAAATGTCTTCTTATTAACTTCAATGGTGTACAGCAATACTTGGAATAAAGACTAGATGAGACATCTCACCTATAACTCAGCCGTCTAAGCTTTGAAGATTCTCCTGTCCACTTTCTCCTTCCACTTCTCCAAAGCTCGCACATAGTCAAACTCATCTACCTCCTTGCCCTCTAGTTTTATCAACATCAGTGTGTTCAGCCTCTCAGCACACAGTCTGTTTCTTGCAGGGTTGTGGATGTTGTTCTGGCAGCTGAAGCCACGTTCACAATCAGCTGTTTGCAAGGGCATTACAAGAGCAAGCCTAGCTAGGGTCAGGAGGTTGGGAAACATGGACTTGTGATGTGCACATATCTCAGTCCAAAGTTTACTGAATTGTCCCTTGCATACCTTTCCTTCAGAACAACTCTCTTCAAAATGTCCCACTGACACAGAGTTCCAATTTTGGCAATTTTGGCCTTGCTAACATATTCTCCATTCCCTGTCCGATCAGAACCATAAAAGTTAGTCAGAATTTCCATTTCCTCCTTTTCATAGTTGACAAGATCCTCTTCAGACAGCATGCTTATACTCCTTAGTCCTATGACACTAAAAGCAGTAGAGACACTGACTGATTCTTTAGGAAACCTCTTTTCAACTCTGTCTTGAAGAAACATTCAAAATTTTGTCCCTGATTTCCTCTGATTTCTTTGCTTGGTAATTATGTAACTTCTCTCCCAGTACTTAGCTATCACATTGTCATTTCTTTTTAAGAATCATTTTATCTTTGAGCAGTAGCTGATAGTGGCTTTGCCACTGAGTGCACATTTCAAACAAGACAGACATCCCCAACTGCAGGCTGCACACATGAAACATCAAGATCTACTTTTTGGAATACCAAACTCAATTCAGTAAACCTGGGGATCACATCCATCATCACATGGAGCATGAAAATGAACTTGTAATCTGTGAGATTGGCTAGTTGTTCCTCTTCCTTTGAGCTCTTCTTGTCAATCTTTTTGAAATATCTCACTAGAGACCTCCATGTCTTGTACACAGTGAAAAGTGCATTGTACATAGCAAACCACCTGATCTCGTGGACTTCCTTTACTTTTATTTGGGGGTCATCCAATAATTCTGTACCTCGGCAAGTTCTGCAACTCTGCATGCTGATTTCTTAAAATAATAAAATAAGTCTGTAAGAGTTTTCTGAAACACTTTCCCAACATACTCCACTTCGTCAGCTGCCTTTGATGTGCACAAGTTTAGTCTGTGTGCCACACAATGAATATTTACAACATGGGGACTATCATCCTGCAGGAGTTTGGCCACTCCAGATTTCCTACCAGTCATCACTGACGCTCCGTCTGTGCCAAGTGCAATGATGTCACTCATTTCAATTCCTCTTGACTGCATAAATTCTTTCATGTGTTTGTAAATGACTTGTGCAGTTGCTCATGAACCCTTTAGTTCAATGTTTCCAAGAAAAATAGTTTCTTGTTGCATGTTTTCAAACACCATTCTTCCATAGATAACAAGCTTTTTTGTCACATTAATGTCTGTACTCTCATCTGTCAAAACAGATTTAAACACTGATGACCTAAGTTTCATGTCAATATCTTCTGTGATTACATCCACAAATGCATCCTGAAATTCATCAGCAGTTTCCCTTGAAGTATATGTTGCATTTTTACCAACACCTAATGACAAAATATCTTCACATCCTTGAAGTTTACACAATGATACAAGAGAAGGGTACTTGGAACTTGCAACACCTTCCTTACACAGCCAATATGCACAACGCATTGCGGCAACGATACTTCCTGATTTTCGAGAAATTGCCGTTTCTGTCGCTGTAATAAAGTCATTTCGTTGAAGCAAGTTCTTTTCGGAAGTCTTATGGTCAAGTAATTTCTCATGTCTAGTCAAAGTCGACGATCTATACTTCTTGCAAGATGTCGTCAGTGTATTACGAAAGTTACAGCTTTTACAAAGTTTGCAACTCATTATTCCACTTGCCTCATCATACTCAAGCCAATCATATTTCTTTAGCCACTTGTTCCGAAATTTGTGCACAAATTTTCGTTTTCCGGTCTGTGGAAGATTTTCTTCGCAACTGTCACTTTCGTCAGAATTAACATTGAGTTCATCACTATCACGCACGTGGTCGCCATTATCGGGAATTTCTGCACCGGAAACATTTGAATTAACTTCACAAGCACCAGGGAGACTATATAAGGGGGAGTGGTCACTCCTCGGAAAGCTCCTAAGCTATGTCTCGGCTCGTCACGTGACCAATGTAGCTAATATGGCGGCAGCGTAGTTTTTAAGATTGAGCCCGGTTTATTTTCAACAGCTGATTACATACGCTGAGTGTTGTGACAACTGAAAACCTACATGTAGAAGATAAGTTACCTATGCTGACACTTCATTTTAAGTCAAATAATTGTTATTAGTGTCAGTATTAGTACAGTAGATTTGTAGTAAAGTTTCAAGTCGGCATGTCGAGCTCACTGGCTTCAATTCTCAGTACACAGCGAAGAAAGACTAAATTATATCGCTAAAAACTTCTTTCACATATTCGTTTAATTTTTAGAAGGGAAATATAGCTTTAGTTGAAAGGTGTTTGCAAGTGATAGTGATAGTTTTATAACTAAAAACATTTGTTAGGGTGTATTTGAGGTGTGTGGAAAATATGACATATCGCCGATCTGCCATTGAAATACTACGGGGCGTTGTTTGAGTGTTTCTAGTTATTGTTCTAAAACATCTTTCACATACACCTTTAATTTTTATGAGGAGAATATACCATCAGGTGAAAGGTGTTTGCAAGTAATAGTGATAGTTTTATAATTTAAATTTTTTTGTTAGGGTGTATTTGAGATGTGTGAAAAATTTGACATATCGCCGATCTGTTCTGATACGTCATTGATGCTTGTGATGCTTGAGTGTTATAGTTCTAAAACTTGTTTCTTTCATGTTGATCTTAGTTTGTGACAAAACTGATAAGTGTGTACAACGCTTTGTGATAGTTCTTAACTTTCTGTTTTTGAGGGGTCTGTGACAGTGTCAGTTAACATTCTGTCAATGTCCATGCCATTCCACACATGCAATAAGATATCTGAATTAGTTACTAATGTAAAAAATGTCTCAAAGTAGATTTTTAGAAAAAAGGACAGCTGATGTTAACACATGTGTTCTACCGATAGTTTTGCGTTCTTTAAGATGTTAGGGGAGGAATGGTTGTGGTGTATCATTTATTCTTTCATTCATTCACATATGTATTTCTTTCTTTTGTTCTTTTTCTTTATTTCTTTCATTCATTCACATATAATTCTTGCTCTTAATTCATTCATTCGTTCATTGTAAAATTCCGACTGATACAATACACTGGCTGAAGTACTGTTAAACGCAGCCGAAGTTGCGCTGGGAACGAACCAAGTCGCTGTGTGCGTTGGAGCATGACGAGGCACACGTTAATTAGTACAAATGGTAAAGAAAGCAAGCGAGTGACCTATCCCTGTTGTAGAGTATCCCTGCTAGCACCTGCCGTTTCGTGAAAAAAGTCTGTGATTCGTCTTTTCTTCTTATTTGACGACATGTCTTTATCAACGTGATAATATGACTCAACTTTACCGAACTTGACCGCTGCCGTTACTTCGCTCGCCGATCTGGCCTCATTCACCATTTCCAAGAAAATTACGAGGTACGACGGAAATAGGCGAACAATTACGATCAATTCTGTATGGGATCTAGTAACAAACCTGTCTATCCGAGTTCCTAACATATACCGAAATGATTCCGAATGGTAAACATTAAATTTGACCAATGAAAAAATCACTTGGAAATCACTGCGATATCCAGACGTGTCCGGGCATGTTCTTGGAAAAGTGCTATTTATAGCTTGGTATTTCCAATATAGGGAGCAATGGCAAGTAACAGTTTTTAATTCATGTAGTTTCGCTACGCGTTAGCAACGAATATATGCGTGAAAATAATAACTCGCACGTACTATGTAGCGCACACATGAAATATCACTGCGTCATTACGCAAAAACGCGCTCTAGATGCAACACTGGTCCACTGAATTTTTACTTACCACTTGTTGTATCACTTGATTGAGCCAGCATATTGCGCACCGGGTAAGCCGGTGCCACGCGATCTATTTGCACACGCTTGCTCTCTTGTACGCGAAGAGCTGTCAGTTCAAATGGATATGTTTCAACACGATGGCACACCCATGCGCGATCGTGTACGTGAAAAAGGACTTACACGAGGCAAATCTCCATTGAATGAGCTTTCAGAATATTAAAATCATATTTCTGTGAAATTGGCACATAGGTCAAAATTGTCTTAAAAAACTGACTACTTTTGCTCGTGATTCTGAGAGGCGTCTCTCGTACGCGTAACGGATCTGTGAGGAAGGTTTGTTTGTCTGTGAGGAGCAGTGGGAGGAAAGTAGACATGATTCAACACGATGGCACACCTATGTGCGTTCTTGTACATGGAAAAGTACTTACATGGGGTAAATCTCCATTGAATGAGCTTTCAGAAAATATTAAAATCATATTTCTGTGAAATTGGCACGTAGGTCAAAATTGTCGTAAAAAACTGGCTACTTTTGCTCGTGATTCTGAGAGGCGTCTCTCGTACACGTAACGGATCTGTGAGGACAGTTTGTTTGTCTATGACGAGCAGTGGGAGGAAAGTAGACATGTTTCAACGCGAGTTCGTGTACATGAAAAAGTTTTTACACGAGGCAAATCTCCATTGAATGAGCTTTCAGAATATATTAAAATCATATTTCTGTGAAATTGGCACATAGATCAAAATTGTCCTCAAAAATTGACTTCTTTTGCTCGTGATTCTGAGAGGCGTCTCTCGTACGCGTAACGGATCTGTGAGGAAGGTTTGTTTGTCTGTGAGGAGCAGTGGGAGGAGAGTAGACATGTTTCAACACGATGGCACACCTATGTGCATTCATGTACATGAAAAAGTACTTACATGAGGCAAATCTCCATTGAATGAGCTTTCAGAAAATATTAAAATCATATTTCTGTGAAATTGGCACATAGGTCAAAATTGTTGTCAAAAACTGACTACTTCTGCTTATACTTAGCTCAATTTCCTTAAAAAATGTCTGGTATATTAAATATATATTTCAAAGCTCAATGAAGTATGTACTTCTCGATGTCAACGTATGGTCGGGTTTGATTTTTTGGTTTTTTATAAATTGTACTTAGAGACGTTTGTGTGCTACTGGTTGAAATATGTGGTCCATCAACAGGTAGTCAACGCCTACGAGCAACCCTCTCCCAAACAGTTGTGCACTTGCTTCTGCAAGGCGTCTCTCGTACGCGTAACGGGTCTGCACGGACGATATGTTTGTCTATGTCGAGCTGTGGGAGGAAAGTACATGTTTCAACGCGATGGCACACCTATGTGCGTTTGTGTGCATGAAAAACTATTTACATGAGGTAAATCTCCCTTGAACGAGCTTTCAGAAAATATTAAAATCACGTTTCTGTGAAATTGGCACATGGGTGAAAATTGTCGTAAAAAACCGACCAATATAACAGCAAACTAAAAACTTACGCCGGCGCATTGTTTTTACACCGGTAGAAGTGACCACCTCTCTTAGTCCTTTTTCCAATGATTATACTTCCACCAAATAATATAGTCCGTATGAAAAAAAAAATTTATTCGTAAATGTGTATTAATTTATTATATCCTCTTTGTTGTAACGCAATAAAAATATCCCCATATATAGTACATACGCTTCTGACAGTCCAAGTCATAAGACGAATGTTTTGATAGAGCAATTTAGTCAGGCATCAGTTACCTCCCCTTAATGACTCGCTTCCCCAGTCACTTCTACGCGAGACGGTTCGCGCAGTTTTTAAGAAAGTAAACATGTTTCAACACAATAACTAACGGGTGTGCGTTGGTGTGCCTCGAAAGCTGCATATATATTTTGAATCTGCGATGAATGAGCTTTCAGAAAATACTAAATGTAAGTTTCTGAAAAATATGCACATAGGTGAAATTCGCTGTTCAATATTGTCAAATTTTGCACATTTTTGTCAAAATTTGACAATCTAATGTTTACTTTACACGTTTTCATTCATGTCAATCAATAACTTGAACACCTATTAATGACTGTAGCAAATTTTGTTTAATTATTTTCATAAATAACACTTTTAGACACGTTTTTGTGTGACATGCAGAACTTCCCTGTCTGTGATCAGGCAGTCACGCGAATGAGTGACCCCCTCTCAGGTAGTCACTTGTACGCGTAACGGGGGACCGTCTCGCGTTCACGTTACGTCCTCTACTGATTATGTAACAGATGTTATATTTGGGATGACACTTTCCCATAAAAGTACAAACCTGACCCTCTCAGTCAGGCACCTAATCGCCAGCACACAAAGTCAGTAGTTGAACCCGCCAGCTTCTGAGTGGCTGAATAGGTTCGACGGGATAGTGTAATCCCAAATATAACCTGTTACAATTGAACACTTTCTAAATGGCATTATGCATTCATAAAGGCATTGTTTGAAAGGCACAATGTCACACCACATTTATATACATAATGCATTTCTCTCAATATTACTAAAGCCTAAAAAAAAAGCTTGTGGTTCCGATTTCCCGACCGACCCTAAATATTCCCGCCGAGCCTAACAATTTTACTCACCACACAATAAATTAAATTTATTTTCTGACACATGACTATGATGAGTAATGTAAAAATATTTTGCAAAAAAACCCAACAAACCCCTACCTACCTACCCTAGTTCTGAAATGTAGGAAATCGGAACCATAACATTTATTTTGTTTGGCCTAACTATCAGCCCTCAGGGAAGCTACCATATAATTTATTCCAACATTATTTTTTTTTTTACACATTTAGATTACAATGTCAAAATTTGTTTGAATGAATTAATGCAAAGTGGCATTAAATTGACACTCTCGCCCTTGTCGGACAAACATTATTTCAACCCCATAGTTATGTCCCTTGGAGCACTTTATAGGCCAAACAAAAAATATGTTGTGGTTCCGATTACACCTCTTTAAAATTAAGGGTAGATAGGTAGGATTTTGTTTTCTTTTTCTTTTCTTTTTTAGAAGTAAAGTACAAACTAGTATAATTCAATGTATAATTGTTTATGCAATCAAGGTTTAGGCCATCATGTTGACTTTCTCTATCCGTAGGTACAAAAAAACAAAACCAATGGTATCTGAAAGCTCATTTCATTCATACCGCTTTAAAAAAATAGGGTCGGCACCAGAATTCTAGGGTCGGTCGGGTAAACGGAACCACAAGATTTTTTTTTAGGCTTTAGGAATATCCAGGGGTGGAAATAACCCATTGCACGACGTCTGAGTCCAGTGTTTTTTTCTGTCGGGCAAGCAAATTTGTATATCACACTGTACCGGTGTCCAGTTGACTTTCCAATATTAATAACGTTGTTTATTTTAAAAAATCAACAAGAAAACGACCGGTATAGTGGAAAAATGATCAGGGCAAATGATTTTACATGTGCCACTGTTCCGGAGTACACTAGCAATTTTAAAGTTGTTTCCACCCCTGATATCCTACGCACCTGTGATTGAAACCAGTTCGGCAAACGCAGACAACACGTTTTCATTCCATACATGGCAAGTGATGTCTGATTGGAAGCTGTTCACCTCGAAGTTTCAATTATCGATTTCAGGCAAGTCGCAAGGGATAAGGTTTTTTTTTATTGCATCAACAGGAAGCTAAGGTGAGCGGATATGCCCCAATGTATATGATATAGGCCAAAATATTGTCGAAAATGTGCAACATTGTGCCTTTAACTAAACTCATGTCATGATAGGGGGCTGGTGCTAATTTCCATCTGTAAAAGTTATTTGGGTGCCACATATTTTCAAATGAACTACGACATCTTTTGAAAGTAGGTTAGAGGTTGAGAATAAAGCTGACAGAATATAAAGTACGGAACATACCTTTAATTCTTGTAGTTTAGGAATGTATATTCTCTCACAGATGAGCTGTGCAATACAATCACCACAGTTCACTGAAAACAAGGACATTATTGTCAGTCCAAATAAGACCCAAAATATTGTACCATGACTCTAGCTTTCAAGAGGTCGCCCTGACTGTCTGTTTGAAACTTGCATATCGCCTTACTGTGAAGTTAAACTTGAGGTGCATGTCGCCTTTCTGTTAAGTTAAACTTGGGGTGCATGTCGCCTTACTGTTAAGTTAAGCTTGAGGTGCATGTCGCCTTACTGTTAAGTTAAACTTGAGGTGCATGTCGCCTTACTGTTAAGTTAAGCTTGAGGTGCATGTCGCCTTACTGTTAAGTTAAGCTTGAGGTGCATGTCGCCTTACTGTTAAGTTAAACTTCAGGTGCATGTCGCCTTACTGTTAAGTTAAGCTTGAGGTGCATGTCGCCTTACTGTTAACTTAAACTTGAGGTGCATGTCGCCCTGATTGTTAAGTTAAGTGCATGGACAGACAGAGTCCAAAATAATACACACATTTGTAACTTTTAGAGCACATTTTGTTGCTATGGAAATCCAGAGCAGATAATTCAAATGGAGCCAACTCTGGATGATCCAATACATTGTAGAATCTGAACCATATCGCGATATTCAACTTGGTGCTGGTCGCCCTGACTTGTCTAGTTAACATATGAGATGCAAAAACTAAATTTTGAAAAGTTTTGAAATTTTGAAAATTTCCCTTGCACTACTTAAAAATTATGATTAGATATGGGTCATGAGAAATATTGCAATGTTGTTTTTTCCCCCGTGTTTTGAAATACTGCGTAAAAATACACAGATTTCATCAATATTTGAACAATTTATCATAAAAATCATTTTGTAGTGTTAGTTGACTGTAATACCACACACAAGTTTAACATATTTCCTTTATAACGCCGACCCCAAGGCAGGGAAACAACTAGAGGTGTGACGATACAGAAATTTCACGATACGATACGCATCGCGATATCTTGGAACAATACGATTCGATGCAAATTACGATATGCTTTTTTAAAGTTATTTTCTTTAAAAAATCATATTTTAATGGCAAGAAATTTTGACATAACCATCAATATCAAATGAAAATTAACAATTTTAAGGTCAATGATACATATCACGATATGAACAAAGGTATCAATATATTTATCGTCAGATAAAGTATTACAATTATCGATACTACGATATATCGTCACAGCTCTAGAAACAACCCAATCTTCTAACACCTGTTGGTATGACATTGGATTCAACCACAGACTTCATACTCTCTGAGCATACACTTAGTCCACTGGACCAATGAGGCGGTTGGATCAGGTCTGGATGCAGGCATAGGACAGCGGAACAAAGACTCCACCTTAACATTTGTTACCAGTAAATTATCGATATTTGACGTAATGATTGATTGTGTAACGCCGCCCTCAGCAGTATTCCAGCTACATGGCAGAGGTCTGTAAACAATCAAGTCTGACCAGACAATCCAGTGATCAACAGTATGAGCATCGATCCACATAATTTAGATACAATGTCAACCAAGTCAACCACCCGATCCTATTAGTCACCCTTTACAAGCATGGGTTGCTGAAGACAATTCTAACCTGGAATTTCATGGGTCTTTTTTAGAAATTTGTCTCACCTTTGAAATCTTGTTTGCCAAAGTTGAACATGACAACACCAACATTCCCTCTGTAGTCCTGGTCTATAACACCAGCTGTAACATATAACGCAACCAAATATAACACTTTGTATCAGAATCAGGGGTAGAAATAACTTTTAAATTGCTAGTGTACTCCTGTACAGTGGCACATGTAAAATCACTTGCCCTGAAAATTTTCCCGCTATACCGGCCGATCTTCTTGGTGATTTTTTAAATAAACAACATAATTAACATTGGAATGTCAACTGGACACTGGTACAGCATGATATACAAATTTGCTTGCCCGACAGAAAAAAAACACTGGACTCGGGCAATGGGTTATTCCACCCCTGAGAATCTGTAGTTAAACAAGAAGCATTTGTAGGGAACCTTTAGTGCAGACTGAATAATTTGGCAGCTGTGATTGGATGATTTGTGAGATTTTGTGCCTTTTTCTAAAAACTTGTACAGCCATCGAGTAACTAAAACTGACCATGTATTTCAACATTTAGTCCTGTTTTCAAACACTGACTAGTGCTGAAATGGACTGCAGTTAATATCAAGCTGTTTATGGATTAATTGAGGGGGCAGATGTCTCTGCTGTGGCTTGTGTAGAGCTGTTGCCTCTTTGAGTGAGTTTCGAGTCTGGACCAAACAATCCAGTGATCAACATCATGAGCACCGACCTTTGCAATAGGAACAGGTTAGGCTCATTTTCAGTGTTTATTGTCACTTTAAGGCCAGACTATATACACATACTATATGTAGAAGCTGTTGACAGTTAATCTTTTAAATAATAAAACCACTATAGAAGCCAAAGATAACATTTATGGCTCTTAGGGGTGGAAATAACCCATTGCCCGACGTCCGAGTCCAGTGTTTTTTTCTGTCGGGCAAGCAAATTTGTATTTCACACCGTACCGGTGTCCAGTTGATATTCCAATGTTAATTATGTTGTTTATTTAAAAAATCAACAAGAAAATGGCCGGTATAGTGGAAAATTATCAGGGCAAGAGATTTTACATGTGCCACTGTACCGGAGTACACTAGCAATTTTAAAGTTATTTCCACCCCTGGCTCTGTATGACCTATATACTACTACTGAAATATTTTGAGGCTGTTAACATGCTTTAACAAACTGTATGAAAGGTGTATCGTGTAAGTGTTTGAAAATAAGCATGAATATGAACCCTGTTTATATTTGACAATTATATTGGGTCTTCCTGATTTGCCACCTCCTATTGTTTATTTAGGTTGTGCAGTCAGGTGTGGTAATTGATAGAACAATAGGATGAGGTGTGGGTCAGCTCAACATTTAGACATGTGGTGGCAATATATTTCTTTATTTCTTTGTCATTTCACATGAATATACATTCAATATGAAATATTCCACGCATATTTTTATAAACATCAACCATGACTGAATTACATGTTCATTACACTTAACAAGTCTTTGTAAACCTTAATCCCATTAATGTTGAACAATGCCAGTGATCTTGTAATTGCCCACCAGGAGTACTTGTAAGTTTTTTAACTACAAATGCAATTTATTATTTATCAATCAAAAGACGAAATAGTGACCTCTTAAATTCACCCTCCACTGTCTCCAGGAGATATTGTCAAAACAAATTTCCATTGAGTAGGAGAAAGGTGTACCTGGATATTTCAAACATTTATTTGCTTTACTGACAAACTGCAAACAACCATTATGGTGGGTGGTGGGTGGTGGGGAGGGGAGAGAAAGAGAGAGAGAGAGAGAAGAGAAAAAGAGAGAAAGAAAGTAGAAAAATCGAAAGATCTCACCTCCTACATCAATGAAGTGTTTGGTTGCCAAGCCGGATCGTGGAGCTGAAACATAGGCAAGGTTTTACACAGACTTTGAAAATTGGGAGTCATGGCGACTCACAGTATTTATTTTTGACAGTCATTTTCAATATTTGGTAGTCATGGAAATTTTAGTTTAATATTTAGTGCAATATTTCATTGTGTAAATCCAAACGCAAGAGTTGTGCCAAGATTTTGTTTTGTGTTGTATTGTCATTTATATTAGTCCATGCAGGTAGCACAAGCACTGTACGTCCCCATGGCCCCTAGTGTGGAGACAGTCATCTACTTATGGAATGTTTTTATATTGTATTGTCTTCGTAAATAAAATAGTTTTAAATTTCCGTGCTAGTTTTAGACACCATCTGTGACACTCTAGTTATTTTACAGTCCTTTGATGACTGATTATTTAACAATTAAAATTTATTGTCTATGTAAAACATTTCTTGTCACTATATGGCTGAAATATTGCGGAGGTGACGTTCAATTTTAACTCACTCACTCATATGATTAGTTTTTAATACAGTTTACAATAAAACGAAAGTTATCATTGTTTGCTTATAATATCGATCTTATTGAACTGTCATAAACAAATATTTCCATTGATTATAGATAGTCTTTAACTATGACAAATTTATGTAAAAAGTTAAATTTGGACAAGACAATCCACTGCTAGACATTGTCAGCCTTGGCTTCTGGGGACATAATCCCCCCGACATGGTATGAAACTGTGATAAAATAAAATATAAATTTAGAAAGTTATATGCCTTCCAGTTGAGTGAATATGACTGAAGGTTACATTATATTACTTTATAGAATGTGAAATCATACTGTGGATTAAAAGACTGTTCATTTACAGCCTTGACCTCCTAGTGAAAACCTTTGATCCCACAAGCCAGAATGTATATCAATATTGATGTCATTAACTGTGGTGGTGGTGGTGGAATTGGGTTTAACGTCGTGCTTGAGAATATTTCGCTCATATGACGACGTGCATGCATGTGTATGTGCGGCTGCTTGTACTAGCCCAGACTGAAGTTGGTTTTATAGTGCTAGCCCACTGAGATATCACGCCACAGTGAAGCATGAATACCCCACTCAGACACATTATACTGACTCTGAGCCGACCAGTCCTTGTTGTACCCATTAATGCCGAGCGCCAGGCAAGTACCATATTTTAACGTCTTTTGGTATGACGCGGTCGGGGATCGAACCCGTGGCCTTCCACTCTCCAGGCGGAGGTGCTCAAACCAAACAGAACTTAACTCACTCAACGTAAAAATGTTTTGGCAGGTTAAGGCTTAGGTCGTCAATGGCGAACGGGTACGACACAATCTTGTTTGCGATAAATAAATGTACGTAAACTCATTATGACAGTGAGGTGTAAGTGTCTCCGACTAGCGCGCTGACAGATGCCATCAGTTCAACATATTTTGATGCCGAGCGCCAGGCAGGGACCAACAAGTACCATATTTTAACGTATTTTGGTATGACGCGGTCGGGGATCGAACCCGCGACCTCCGCTCTCCAGGCGGACGCTCTAACCACGGAGGCTGTCAGTTATTTTAAGAGGTACGATAAAATAATCTTTCAGGTACCATGGTTTTAGCCCGGCACCAATGGACATCGGTCATACACTAAGAGAAAGTTGACATGATGGCCGCAAGGCTTGATTGAATAAACAATTATACATTGATAAATGTGTTATTAGTTCATAATTTACTTCTAAAAAAAAATGTAACAAAAATGTAGCAGATGCTGCCTCACGGCTCATTGTGTGTGTATATATAGAGATGTTGGGTTTTGTAAATACATGCTCATTTTTTGTGTATAACATTTTGCAATCAACAGACATCATAACATGTCATGTGTTCAAGTATCACACCTGCCTGTCTGTGTAATAACATGTGACAGAGACCGAACTCGGGCCATAAATCAATGCGTTTTGTTTATGGTGTATAGCCTGATTGGTGTTAAGTTCAAATTGCATGTGGTCAGTGATCGCAGTTGTGTATTAAATATTGTCATTAGCAGACAGGCAGGCAGGCAGACACACAGGTGTCAATAAAACAAGACATTGAGTTTTGTCTGTGACAACGACATATCTATATCACAGTTAGAAATTGTGTCAACGCTAAATAATGACATTGCTTTTAAGTATCGAACTGAGAAAGGGACTCGGTAAGAAGAACGTGTGGTGAAATAGACAAATGAAATTATATAAACAGTTTATTTACTGTCATAACGTATAAAAAGCTCGCGCCTGTGAGATATCAACAAAACATTAGAAAAATAGCTCACACCAAAGCCTTCACCGAGTATTCACCCGACAACCCGCTTCCAAGCTGCGCGAACCTATTTACTTGCGCACGTGCTATGAGCGCAGCCCAGCTGTTGAAACCCGTATTCCCCAGAAAAGTCTGGGGAAAATTAGTGAAACGTTTGAACTCCGATTTCGCGCGGGTTTTTTTTAATCGCGTTATTTTTCAACTTTATAAGTTGAATTTGCATTTTTGACGATTTGTTTCGCTATGTCCATACCGAAAGGTATCAGAATCTGCAAAGTTGTGTTTTACGTTGCATGTGACCTTTAACAAATTTCATAAATGACGCTAACCAATTATTTTCGATGATTGATCGGTTGTAATGAACCAATCATCAATTATGAAAGTTTAACCAATTCCCAACACTACTACATACCAACTCTGCCATAAGACCCCCTCAGGAACAGCTATCTGGATGTCTGTCTTGGCGATAATCTTGTCTCCCGCCGGGATCAAATAGTCATAGGCACTGAAAACAGACAGTGAGTGAGTGAGTTTGGTTTTACACCGTTTTTAGCAACATTCCAACAATATCACGGCAGGGAACACCAGAAATGGAAAACAGACAGGACACATTTAAATTGTTTTCTGTTGGTGCTCTGATGGGAAGTTGATGATGGGGAGGGCCTACAGATTAAACACCTCCAAATATATAATTATGTGGACTCAAGAGCCTTCATCAAACAAGGGGAGATAACACACATATATTCACTATTCTAACACACAAGAGCAGACATGGAAGGGAAATGATAGTGTCCGATAGAATTTAAATAAGTAAATATGTGCCTATATATCAGGGTGGATACAGCTTTTTCACCCGTTACATGGCAGTTTCAATGGTCATTTAATACATTTTCAGGACAAAAAAGGAGGTTACGCACACCTGCACACCCCCTCTGGATCCGCACATGTATAATATGTAGTGCACTGACGTTAATATAAAGTTAACCCATGAAGATCTGGGTTAGAATTGATCTTCAGTAACCCAAGCTTGTCATAAGAGGCGACTAACCGGATCAGGTTGTCAGACTCGCTGACTTGTCACCGGTTCCCAATTGCGTAGATCGATACTCATGCTGTTGATCACTGGATTGTCTGGTCCAGACTCGATTATTTACAGACTGCCTCCATATAGCTGAGTGCGGCGTAAAACTAAACTCACTCACTCACATATAGTTAGGCACTCTAACGCTGTGTCAGACTAAGATGTTATGATGCGAGTTATATCCCTTTGTATCACTCTCATTGAGTAAGTTATTAAAGAATTAAGTTCATGTTTTAGAAGACGCCATTTGTTCTGTGGTCTATTGTTATGAAGTTCTGCCAAGTCTAGAACACTATATGTATGTATCAATGCATGCAACCCCAAAAATACAAATGGAGTAATAAAACGTTTGAGGTCTTTCTCAACTTGTCAGTTACATTTATGACTTGGAAAGAGAAGTATCTGGATGCAGGATGCATTTAAACCAGTGTTCACGAATAGTGTCTGACCCCCTGACAAATCTGGCAGATTCACCAACGGTCCAATAGAAGTCCACAACCCGCCGGCCCCAGTGTCTGACTGTATGTTTCACAATGACTTTGACTGAAGTTGTTATATGTCACAGGGGCGGATACTAAGGCTGTAACGATTCACTCGCATATTCGGTGAATCGAACCGTAGCCCTTCATGAATTCAATTCGTTATTCGTGGTCACCAGAACCGAATATTCATGAATATTTACAATTTTTATAAGGGATCATGTTTTACTTGAACCCTTATGTCCTTTTTCAAAACGAGATATGCAAGAATGCAATATGTACTAGCCTTGTAGTAGCCCAAGTCATGTTAGTTTGCCAAGGCTGCACATGTTACTGTCAACTATAACTATTACATACAAAATTTGAGTGTCATGAGATGACTGGTTATTGCTGAGACAAATTAACACTGTCAACATGGGCATTCAATATTGTGCATCAATCACTTAACTACAATATTGTATTCATGAATAATTATTCGTATTCGTTACCTAATATTCGTGATACGTATCATATTCGCAACATAGTGTATTCGTTACAGCCCTAGCGGATACAGCTTTTTGAGAAAGGTGGGGTGCACACTATTGGCAAAGGGGGGGTGCACACTTTTCACCCGAGTTTCAATGGTCATTTAATAAGCTTTCAGGACCACACAAAAAAAAGGGGGGAGGGGTTGTGCACCCTGCAGCCCCTCTGTGTCACATGTTACATGTGACACGTGTTTGCTGTTTATAAATCTTATGTTTGTTAGTAACTTTAAATGCCAATTATAAGAAATTTTAAATCTGAAATGTGTTTAATTTTTATTCTATGGGTCCTGTGAATTTTCAATGGGCCAGACATCTGAAGCCTGCAGGATCCTATGTCCTGTAACTTTGAAACACCATTCGTGAACATTGTTTAAACTAAGACTACCATGATTAGGTATAGGAAAAGCTAAGAAAAATATCGATTGTACAACCTATATAGCCATCCCTTAAAAATTGTGTACTATAGGGGTTGGAAATTTTGATTGTCTGCTTGTCCATACAATACTGTGCCAAATAGTTTGAAATTAAAATTCTATTCGACCTTCGACTAGTTAACATTAGTCTAGCTCGATCCTAAAAACGCAGCTTATAAAAACATCCGAAATAGTGCACGCTAAATTGCAAGGTGTTCGGAAAAAAAGCACTGATAAAAAAGTACTAAATTTGCCTAGGAAAAAAAGTCCTCCGGAAAATAAGTCCTACTCTTATGTTTTTATAACAAATGTTCAGAAAAAAACTTTGATATTCGGGTTTTTAATACTTTATTCACATGCAACAATGTAAATTGACAAAACTACATTTGCAGGACGTTTTATTTTTTTTACTTTATTCACATAGACACTTTCACATACAACAATGTAAATTGAAAAAAAATTGCATCTGCTATGATACATTTGCAGGACTTTCACATAGGCACTTCACATTGCTCTGAAAATTGACAATTTGCAAGACTTTGCTGACATTAAATGATGTCAGAACTCAAGCTAAATCCTGGATTTGAATGCCCAGGTAAAATATCATTGTTCTTGGTTATTTAATTCTTGTCTTTAATACACAATCACTTTTCTCAACAATAACTTTGATGTCAACATCCATTTAATCTGTTTTCACAATAATAGGACTCTTATTCCGGAGGACTTTTTTAACCGGTACTTTTTCCTATAATCAATTGCAAGACTCCATCAACCCAAGCAAGGAGGGTGGATCAGAAATCTTGACAGAGGTGTCAGTGTCACGCCTTCCCTGGATCTTGGTGGTAGATGAATCTGGCCCCAAATCTGCCGCCAAATCTGGCGACCACCAATCACATGCAGCATCTGGCCGAGGTAGGATAACTCCAGTAAACTTCCGGTAAATATTTTCATCATGCCTTTAGTAGTTTTGTGTGGTTTTCCATCGAGTGGCAAGACTAAGCGAGCAAACGAACTAAAGAAGCACATAGAAGCAAATTATACGAACAGGAAAATTCATGTTGTAAGCGACCATAACAATGACGTTGAGAGAAATGCTGTTTACGCAGGTAAAGTACATTGACATTTTCAAGAAATGTTGTCATTCATTCTACTGAAATGAATACTGAAAATGGTTGTATTTAGCACTTTCAAGGACTAACCGTGAATATTTCTGTTGTATGATTAATATGACAACACGTTGATATTGTGCTCACAGATTCCAGACGAGAGAAGGAAGTACGGGGCTCGCTGAAGTCAACAGCTCAGAGGTGGGTGCAAATTGTCTCCACCGATTGTAACCATATGAAGCGTCGATAAAATCATCTTGTGAATGCGTCATGGCATTATCTGCCACCATTTGACAAAGGAAAGGAGAGTTCATGTTGTGGCAGTTACAGGTGTTGGAAAGATTTCCTTCCGATCCCCCAACTCTAAACCGAGCCCTAACTTAAATTTTGGACTTTTAATCATTTTGTGAGTTCTCTAGTAATTGTTGTGTTAAGTTTTGTTTATAATTCTAGAATATTTATACATATTATTTGGGATGGGGGAACGGGAGGAACTCTTACCCAGGTGTTGCCTGTGCCATTTATGTGATAAATATGCCACAAAATAAATGTCCTTTCAATCAAATCAGGTATTATTTCGGAGTGGTGGGGTAGCCCTGTGGTTAGAGAGTGTTCCTAAGTTTGATTCCCTATATGGGTACAATGTGTGAAGCCCATTTCTGGTGTTCCTGTCGTTAGATAGCTGGTATATGGATAAATGCTGCGTAAACTAAACTCAAGTTTATAACAGCGTTATGGGATGATTGTTTTTTCAATTGAATTAAACTTTATTAGAGGCATTTTGATTAGTTGTTGGTTTCAAGTTCACGAGCAAGCATGAGCATGATGAGTGAGTGAACTCGGTGAGAAATAATTCACTGGAAATTTTAAAATGGTGTGTCAGCTTGATGTTGGAGGCTTGAAACCTGAATTCTACCATGAACCAAGAAAATACTAGATTCTGATTGGTTGTTCAGAAAAATCAGACGGCATCAATTGTGGATTGACGCTCATCTGATTGTAAGGCCGCTTCACCTCGCATTAACAAATCTTATTGTGAGAACTACTTCCGTTTGACCACAATGATGGCGGATCATAACAACAACTCCATGGATTTTGACGCTGAATTTCGAATTTTACACATAGGCAATTGGAAATTTTTGGATTAAAAATGCGTTTGATTTCATTGCGCTTCACTGCGCACGTATAGAACACTGCCCCACTACTTCAGCTTGACCACCAACATGACTAATATCAACACAACAGACGTGATGGAAATGCTGATGAAACATTTATTAAACTAGAAAAATACAGTTATATGATTCTCCCCCCAACAATATATGAGGGAACCTCACTATCATATTACCTTCTATTATCAAAATATTCAAACTCAATTACAATACACAGCCCCAAACATAAACAAAACAATATCTAACATATAAATCAGAAAGCCTTGTAAAAATACATCCCTATCTATACAAAATATGCAGCAAAACATTAGTAAACATCCCTTCACAGACGAGTTCAATTCGCCTCTCGTCCCATGCCGGATGACGCGGTGTCTTCCGCAGAGCGAGGAAGTTCGATTATAAATGGGTCATGGTAGAATGGAGATAACCCTGATAACTCTGATTTTCAAACACACTAGGTTTATCTCCTAAGTAAGGCAGCTTTCAGAATTTATCCCTTTGTGAAACCCATGAGCAAGGGTTTGGTGCTGAAAATCCTTAAAAATATATCCCAACACGAGCTGAATTCAACGTTCTGGTGATTTTGACGATTGTATTGCTCGTGCTATATCGGGTGAGTACATGTGCGATTGGAGTGCACAAACAGTTTCACTGGTAGGGTGGGTGCCCAGTCGCTGTCATGAGAAGTTTCATTTACAATGGCAGTCGGGAAGTAAAGTTATATAAAAAGCAAACAAACATCAATATTATTTACCCGAGATCGTTAACACCACTTTAGATGCAAAATCAGTTGCCTGTATAACAAAAAATAGCAAGCAAAAATTCAGGAAGATCAGTCGTCTGCTGGTGACAGGCAATATATAAATAGGAAGCCACGTGATCACAACACTCCCTCGCAGTGCGGAGCAAAACGTATGGCTCATCGTCGAAAACCCATACAAAATACCCGGATGTTACGAGCGGCCACTGTTTCGCCGATGCGATGTCATCAACGCTATTTTTGTAGGAAACACTTGATATTTTTGTGTGAAATAGATGAATATATCCTTTATCACCCGAGGTTAGTAAAATAAAAGCTGTAAATGATATTACTGATATAATTACGTTTTTGTCTTATATCGTCGAAAACCCCTGACACCGGGATATATGAAGCAAACCTGGATGTGAACCCTTGATCATAAGTTTCTGATGCACTAAATCTGCGTTTAAGTAAAGTTGTGAATTTTTGTGATCCTTAGCAAAGTGTGAGTAGTAATATAGAGATATTGATGGATGATGCTTGTGATTCAGTCCAGATAAATGTTTTGTCTTTTCAGGTTACTGAACAAAGAAGATGTAGTCATTCTTGACTCCTTGAATTACATAAAAGGTAGGCTGAGACAGTCTGACAATCAGACAAAGAAAAGTCATATTCTGTTTTGGTGTTTTTGAGATGATTTTTTCCACTGGTTTCAATTATGGTATTTTAAGTGGTTTGTTTATGCATCAAGCAAGAATGAATATGATCGAACCCACAAACAGATGATCCTGACATACTAAAGGGACCTAACTCTTTCGTGTAGATTTTGATTATGGATGGTCAGAGGATTGGGTCACTTGTCCTTGTGAGATTTGTAGAATCCGCTGCCATTCAGTATTTGCTTGTTTCTCTCACTTAACATGTTAAAATACATTGTGAGAAATGTTTCGATTTTGTTTGCCCAAGATGTTTTTTCTTGAATGTTGTTGTTTGATCTTTCAGGTTTCCGCTATGAGTTGTTCTGTGTAACAAAGGCCTGCCACACACCCCATTGTGTTGTAAGTGAAACGAAAACATGTTCAATTTCATAAATAACAATTGATGACACAACCAGGGCTCCAGATAATCTTTAAACACCAGGAGTACATACTCCTTATGTTTTCAATATAGGAGTACTGGAAAAACGTAAGAGTACATTTAGAGTACTGAATGGAATTTAATGGAGTCCCAATAATCAATAGTAATCGTGTGTTTCGTTTTATATATGCGCATAACATTGCTACTCTTGTGTAAACAGGTCAATAAACAATAAAACAATACTTTTTCAGATAAATACGTCTGAAAATGATTCTAAGACCATACACCATTGCTGTGGTGCTTATCTGCTACGTTTTCTAAAATATTTACTACTGTATCGTGCATATTTTTTAGCAGTACATACGCCGATACGGCCCTTATCTGGAGCCCAGCACAACGTTTTGAAAAAGGTTGTTGTTTGTTTGTTTGTTGCGTAATGCTACTCAGCAATTTTCTAGCTGTATGATGGTTGTGTGTAAATAATGAGACCAGACAATCCAGTGATTAACATCATGAGCACTGAATTAAAAGGATTGGTTTGTTGGTTTGTTGTTTTGTTGTTTAATGCCACACTCAGCAATATTCCAGCTGTCAGCAGTCTGTAAATAACCGAGTCTGGATCAGACAATCCAGTGATCAACAGCATGAGCATCGGTCTGCACAATTGGGATAGTATAACATGTGTCAGTGAAATCAGCGAGCCTGACCACCCGATCCTGTTATTAAATATTTATAACATTATTCGTCATTTTATACGTACATAGATAAAGAAATTCGTGCATTGAATCAACGCATTGCAAAGTATGAACTATACTTAACCGTTTAATGTTTAATGGAGGATGTTGTGCCTTTGCATTATTCATCCTAACAATGGTGATCTTAAAATGTAAATGTTCTGTGGCACCAAGTCAATAGCTTAGTGTTGATATTAGTGGTGGTCCGATTAATTGAAATAATCGAAGATTGGTCGCAGTGACCAAACGACCAAGCAATCAATCACATGTTCTCATAATCGAACATAAACGATTTTGGAACTACTGTTGTAGTCTTTGAAATACTTGACAATGGAACATATCGTAGAAGTTGTCAGGGCCTGAAAACGTGTTGAAAACTCACTTTCACTAACTGAAAAGCCATGACTGAATATATTTTTTTGAAGCCTCCGGGAAGTTTATGTTCATGATATATTAGTCATCACTTTAAAGTAGCAAGTTGCATCATGTTATACATATCTGCAATAACGACCTGGATAGGAAAATCTGAAAAATATGAACCAATTTTTGTTGGTGAAATGTTCATTGGTAATAAAGCAATCAGCAATTGTGAGATTTCAACCATTTCCCAACACTAGTTGATATGCATACATATATATTGTGTAAGTCACGGATGGAAACAGAATTTTCGTAAAATTTAAAATTGAGCTTTCTTTCTTTGTTTACATCATGTAAATTTGAGAAAAAATAATTAGTAATTTAGTAAAACCCATAAATGACGTTTCAAAGTACACACGGACACATCACCGTGTCTATAGGGAAAGCTAGCAAATATTTATTTTGTCTTGAATTATTTAGCATTAATTTTCATTTTTGTTATTCCCACCAATGCATTGTCGAGGTAATGAAGGCATACAAAGTGACCAACAGGGTCGAGTGGTTACTCACTGACTTGGTTGATACAGGTTAATGTGTTTCTTTTGGTTGGTGAATGCTCATGATGTCACTCACTGGTTTGTCCTGTCCAACATTGATTATTTACTTACCTACATTTGTACTATTGCTGGGTGTGATCTGTTCTGTTTGATTGACATTAGCTGAGTGCGGCAGAAAAAAACCCCAATAAAATCCCAAAACTTTACAGTAGTATCTATATTTCTTCACATAATGTCAAATTTGGGCGGTGGGGTAGCCTAGTGGTTAAAGCGTTTGCTCGTCACGCCGAATACCCGGTTTCGATTCCCCACATGGGTACAATGTGTGAAGCCCATTTCTGGTGTCCCCTGCCGTGATATTTCTGAAATATGGTTAAAAGCGGCGTAAAACTGAACTAACTCACTCACTCATGTCAAATTTAACAGAAAATGTACCAATGGTTCTGCAACATTAAAAAACACAGTTGTTATTCATCCCTACATGTTGTTGAGAGTCAAAATCTAAATAAGATTCATTTTCAGATATTCTGTGATATCAGTTCGGATCGTGCGTCAGAGTTCAATCTGCAGAGGAATGAGCCAGACAGATACACCCAGGAAATGTGAGTCTCCTTGATTCTTACACTGTTAAAATTGACCTTCAGTAACCCAGGTTTGTCGTAAGAGACGACTAATGGGATCGGGTGACTTGGTTGACACATGCCATTGTATCCCTCTTGCGTATATTGATGTTCATGTCATTGATCACTGGATTGTCTGGTCCAGACTTAATTATTTACAGACACCTGCCATATAGATGGAATATTGCTGAGTGCGGCGTTAAACAACAGACCAACTCATCAGTGTAATCAAACCTTTCATGGTTAGTGGTGTCAGTAAATATTGCACAAATCAAATCATTTGTGTTACCCAGATTTTATTTTATCACCCTGCCATGATATAAATGGTATATTAGATATTGAGACCCAACAAAACCCAACAGACACACACACACACATGTTTTGTATATAGATCAAATGCCAATGTCTGAAGTGATTGTGTAAAGTCATGCAGGAAGCATAGGTACTGAAAGTTCCATTGATCCTTAGGGGGTGGTGGGGTAGCTTAGTGGTTAAAGTGTTCACCCATCACGCAAAAGACCTTTGTTCGATTCCCCATATTGGTTCAATGTGTGAAACCCATTTTTCGGGAACACCAGAAATGCTTGTATTTAAAAGCTGGTGATGAATGTATCATGTCTTGATGGTGTGTTCCAGCTTTGATGGGCTGGTGATGAGGTTTGAGTCCCCCAACCCTAGTACGAGATGGGACACTCCTCTGTTTGTTGTCCAGGTGGACGATGACCTCCCAGGTGAACAGATCTGCCAGGCGCTGTTTGACCGGAAGCCGCCACCTCCAAATCAGTCAACACAGTCGGTACGTTGCCATGGCATTCTCAGACTGACAATAATGATTATTGGCTGGCTTTATTCACAGTATCAAGGACATTGCTATAAGCATCCCTGACCAAATCTAGACCAACAGGGCTCCGAATATGGGCCGTATCGGCGTATGTACAGATAAAAAATATGCATGATAGGGTAGGAAATAATTTAGAAAATGTAGCAGATATGCACCACAGCAATGGTGTACGGTCTTAGAATCATTTTCAGACGAACTTATCTGGAAAAGTATTGTATTTTTGTTTATTGACATGTTTAGACAAGAGTAGCAATGTTGTGGTGCATATATGAAACGAAACACAAGATTACTGATACTCCATTAATTCCATTCAGTACTCTAGATGTACTCTTGCGTTTTTCCAGTACTCCTATATTGAAAACATAAGGAATCATGACTCCTTATGTTGAAAAATTATATGGAGCCCTGTAGACCAATCTTTAAAAAGCTTTATAAATATGACCACGTACGACCGATAATCTACATGAGCGTCATGACTTTGTGTGCTGGCCATTAGGTGCCTGACTCTGAGGGTGTGAGTTCGAATCCCGGATGGGGCTCCACCCAACAAAAGTACAAGAATTTGTACTTTACTAAGAAAGAGCAATCCCAAGTATAGCATGTTATGTCATGTTTTTCTTACGAAAATTACTGAAAACATTAGTATACAACCAATATCTTACTGCCTAGTAACTGGACTTTTGAGTTGCATTCATCTTATTTTCTTCATCCTTCACCTGATGAAGGAGCAAGCATACAGTCCGAAACGTCGTGTTATTCACAATAAAGAAGTTGACATCCATAAATCTTGCTTTTCTTATGCATTCCACTTCTAAAATGCCCTTCAAAGATTTGTTCAGTATATTCTCATTGTCTGTTGTTACATTTTAACATACTGACTCTGAGCAATGGGAAGGTGAATATATTAAAGTTTTATGTCAGCTGTAAAATGAAAATTAATTAATTTTTAGCTGCTGGTTAAGATGTTTAATGCCTATATCTGTTTGTCTAAGGTCTAACGTAGGTCACACATGATATTTTCACATGACACTTTCCATCTTATCGTGAGATTCTCAGTAAATATTTGAGGCAGTCGGCTAGCCTAGTGGTTAAAGACTCAGTCGTCATGCTGAAGACCCAGGTTCGATTCCCCACATTGGTACAATGTGTGAAGCCCATTTCTGGTGTCCCCCACCGTGATATTGCTGGAATATTGCTAAAAGCGGCGTAAACCCATACTCACTCACTCCTTTATCATTTGGGGTGGTGGGGTAGCCTAGTGGTTAAAGCGTTGGCTCGTCACACCGATTCCCCACATTAATACAATGTGTGGAGTCCACTTTCTGGTGTTTAGAATCCGATTTCATCTGCAGTAACCCATGCTTGTCGTAAGAGGAGACTAACGGGGTCAGGTGGTCAGGCTTGCTGACTTGCTGTTGGTCACTGGATTGTCTGGTCCAGACTCGATTATTTACAGACCGCTGCCATATATTGCTGGAATATTGCTAAAACCACACTCACTCACTGGGGGTGAAACGGTATACCGCGGTATTAGTAGAACCGCAGTATTTTGCCTTTGGTTCGGTATACCGTAATGCAATCCAAAACTTCGGTATTTTCGGTTTCGTGCCGTCATTTTATTAATCATTTTAAACTTTTTCTAAAATGTCTACGATCAAATCATCTGGTCAAAATCTATGCAATTCTTTGCTTGACGGGCCGCTATTTTCCTGGGAGTAAGTTCGAGATCGCCTCAAGTCGTCTTCTTACAAAGTCAGCAAGACAGAAACTGCAGATACCAGATCAGTAGCCATAGCTGGGTTCTGTTTCTTTTCAGTTATTTCAAATTAGGTGAACAGCGAAACATCGTAATAACTTGTAAAGTCAACATTATCATAAAGACACGCCATCAGCCGAGTACTTACGATGTTTGCTGTGATGCAACACACCGCGATATAGCTCGGGTAAACACTGCCATCCAAAAACGTATGATGTCAGAAACCTCAATTATTAAACGATCTTCCTCGATTTCATTTTATTTGATTAAATTTTTTCCCATTTTCATTCATTAAAACTGTTTACAATAACATCGGAGAAAACGTGTGTGAAATGGCATCCCTCAATCTATATGCGTACCACTTCCGCTTACTTTGTTCATAAGGGTCCGCTTTTCGCGCCCACCGCGTTAGCACCAATTTCACACTATTTTCAGCACTCACGAACAGATTACCGCCCCGTCATCCACAGACCCCAAGACCCACGTTATTGACTCATTGAAGTCATATTTCACAATTAATTACCAACATTTTGTTTTTACGATCAAAGTGGCAGATACCGCGGGAAGTCAGTGGTGATTTGTCAAACTGTCTCATACGTAAAATGTATCCAGCTACGTTACCCAAAGTGCTGAACCTAGTATGTTAATTGGGCGGTGGGGTAGCCTAGTGGTTAAAGCGTTGGCTCGTCACGCCGAAGACCCGCGTTCGAATCCCCACATGGGTACAATGTTTGAAGCCCATTTCTGGTGTCCCCCGCCGTGATGTTGCTGGAATATTGCTAAAAGCGGCGTAAAACCAAACTCAGTCAGTCAGTAGTATGTTAATTTTTATGTTAAGTATGTTGGCAGAAAACATGCATAATACTAATGCCATAGCGATATATATTATCTCTGTTCAAATAACTGCTTGAGATATGAATTATTATGGTAATGGAATAGACATCCTTTGATGTTATATTTTCATATCATTTTTAACTGAATCACCGGTAGACTGGAGCAAAACATGAGTACACAGCTGATTGTTATATCTGGCTTAGTTAAATAACAGACCGGTTGAATAACAGGAAGGACAACTGAATTATCATGTAGAGTGACAGAGGCCGAGATAAGCTGCGTATCCGGGTAAAATACGCATAGAAAATTTCAAATTACGCATTGAAAAATAATTGTTGCGTACCAATTACGCATTTAAAATGTTAGATATGCAAAAAGTTTAAAACAAATGCGTACGGAACATATTTATAAAAATCTCTTGCGTAATGAAAAGACATCCATTGCTATCAAGTTGTACTGTTAGTATACGACAAGTGTTGTACTGTCAGTATAGGATGAGTGATTTGTTATGAAATCATTTCCATTATATTTAAGTTGGTGTTGATTAGGTATGACATAAGGCAGAACATACCTGCTTAGTAAACTTACTTACTACTTAGGTGAGTAAAATGACTGAAATACGCACATATTTGAAAGCAGTTGGTAACGGAAAATGAAATACCTACTCAACATTCATAATACCGACTCCAAAAGAATACAGTGGGTACAGTACCCACATGAGCTAAATCTTATCTGGAGCTCTGTGAGTGATGTTTAATTTGATTGCAGGTTTCCTATACACATATTTATTTTCATTTACAAAGTTTGTTTTTTAACTACGAAGATACGATATAGTTTTGACTGGGCACAAGACACGAAATATCAGTTCTATTATGTCCATGGAAATACATTTTTACTTGGCCTATATTCCGGGTAATGTATAACGTGGGTGTCTCATAACTCGGGGGCCATCCATTGACCGGAGTTAAGACGAGGGATGACTGTAAGTATGGGTATGGATCTGGTGGCCTCCCTTCACACTTATGTTTGTTTGTTGTTGCTATATCAGAACAATGAACATTTAACGATCAATAAAAAGAGAAAGCAGTATTCTCAAGCTAAAACGTATTTGTTTCAGAAAGGAGAAATACATTTCTGAGTGAAATTTAAAAGATATTTTGAATGAATCTGAAAACTGAATAAAACAAAATTCTGGAATGTGCCAAGATAGCAGTACTATGTAGCAGTACTTTCCAAGGACTGGAAAGTCTCTAATGTTTAACTGACTGAAACGAGGGATAGACAATGATTTAGAGCAAGGACAATGATCTGTCACACAAACTGTAACTGTCTTATGACAACTGTGTTGAGTTAATTTGTTTAACTTATTTATCTGTGGTATGTCATCAACAGAGTCACATTCGACAGGATCTGATTTGTGTATTGTTTTTTTGGTGTGTTTTTTTAAACATGAACATTTCTTGGACGTGGTCTTTTCACTGCAGTAAATGCTGATGTGATTTTAGTGTTTTTTAATCATACTTGGCTACTTGCTATTTTGCCACACAGCTGTGAGCTCCAAGGTTCCAGTGATGCTTTAGTTATTCTAACTTGTCATGAAATGACAGTTTTGTTCATTCAAAATAACAAAGATTATGATTATTTTTTCCCATGTTATTAAACAATGTAAGGTTTGGCTCTTGTTGTCAGTTTTCTGTATTATGATCATATCTAATATACCGGACCGAACCAAAGGCCTTGTACCGCGTCATCAAGTTTGCTGTGTGAAGACCGCTTAGGACATGAAACACTTTGCAAACATTACCAGTACAGTTGGATATGGTGCTGACAAACCTATATTCAAACTCAGACTTTCATCCAGCATCTACCCGTGAAGATCCGGGTTAGAATTGATCTTCAATAACCCATGCTTGTCGTAAGAGGTGACTAACAGGATCAAGTGGTCAGGCTAGGTTGGTTGACACGTCATCGTATTCCAATTGCGTAGATCGATGCTCATGCTGTTGATCACTGGATTGTCTGGTTCAGACTCAATTATTACAGACCGCCGCCTTAAAGCTGGAATATTGCTGAGTGTGGCGTAAACTAAACTCACTCACTCATCCAGCTTCATACTCAGATGCTGAGATGTAACTAAAAATACTGTTCAAGGATTTACCTTGAGTGGGGACTATGGTCAATAAATGTTACGGGTCCTTGCTGGTAATATGAGGGTTCGGTGAAGTACTGAAATGGTGTAGTGTACTGTACGTTGAGGTAATGACTTCAGACCCTGGAGGGGACTAGTGCTTCCCCACATGGGTACAATGTGTGAAGCCCACTTCTGGTGTCCCCCGCCCTGATATTGCTGGAAAATTGCTAAAAGTTGCATAAAACCATACTCATTCACTCGGACCCCGAAATGAATCTGTAGTCACAACTGATGGGTGAAATAATGCACACAGATAACCACTCTTGGTACGATACGCTGTAGGTTCGCCCTCGGTATTCTTGTGCTTTTTTCCGGATGCTGTAATTTGGTTTTTCAGCGTCCATTCTCTACATTTGTGCGTCACGTAAAAATCCTGCTGTTCTAGGTGGCGTTTACCAAATTCATTCACTCACATACTCACTCACTATTACAGCAACCTCTCTCCTCCACCAACTTCCTGTACGAGATGGACCGCATCACCCAGGAGACACTTACTGTGAGTAACCATGGCAACACAAAATATCACAGAACAAACCATGAAGAGGCATCTTTTATTGAGTAACTACAAGTTCGTGTGAAATTACTTAAGTTGTATCAATTATCTTTTTTCTCTTTAAGAATGGAAAATGAATGTCACTGAATATGGATTGTACTTGATGATAATGATATTAATTAAAAGAAAAAAGCTAAAGAAATAAGATTAGTAATTATTATTACCAAATTTAGCTGACGGTAAAAATAGTTATTGTCATGAACCTTATTTCAAGACTTATGAAATTTTGGCATCCTTTTCGTTTTCATTGTTTATATATGGAATATTATTAGCTTATCAGAGAAAATTTGACTCGCTTTTGTCTTTGGACTAGTGGCTGCTTTGTTGGATTTTGTTACCATAATGTATTGATAACAGGAAGATATTTCCCACTTGGGGATTAATTGAAAGTTCCTCACTTTCAGGCGGTAATGGAAGCACAGAAGATGGGTCTGCCTGGAGACAAGATTACCATTCCTGGAGCAACAGAGAAAGTATCCTTATTGTGTACATCATCAAGATTTATTTCAGATGTTGATGTGGAATGTTTAATGCCACACGCTACAATATGTCTGCTGTATGACTCTAGCTTGTAATCTGTTCCTTGTTGAATAACACCACTGTCGGCATTTATCGTGTTCAATGACAGTAAATATCTGTGTATAGAGTAATCTGTACATAGTCTAGCCTGGACCAGACAGTCCAATCCAGCGATTGACGTCCTGAGGACGTATCTAATTGTAGCCCGTGACGATCCGGGTTAGAATTGGTCTTCAGCAACCCATGCTTGTAGTAAGAGGCGACTAACCAGATCGGGTGGTCAGACTCGCAGACCTGGTTGACAACATCGTATCCTAGTTGTGTAGATCAATGCTCATGATGTTGATCACAGGATTGTCAAGATTTGATCATTTAGAGACTTCACCATATAGCTGAAGTATTGCTGTGTGAGGCATTAACAAACAAACAAGCAAAATTTGATACAGGCTGTGGTAAATATTAATTTATTCAACATCAGTTTTAAAGTGAGAATGTCTCTTCAGAAGTCCTGTTGTTTGATTTCCTTAAGAATGCAAGATGGAGCTAACAAGAACGATAACTCTGTCCGAGTTACATCGGCAGCGTCGTCAGTTCATCACGTACACCAAGATGCACCCAGTCGAGGATACCGCGCGACTTGCGAACATGTTCGTCCAATACCTCAACAACAGTCTGAGGTGACCCCAGCTGTCTTCATTAACATCCTGCTTTCTGAATTTTTATTTGTAAATATAATTTGTAAATAAAATTTATTTTAGAAAATTAAAATGTATTCTTGTTTGCTAGTTTTCACTTCTTTTGATGGATGTGTTTTGTTTGTAAAGGACAGGGTACCTTTAAACCAAGTGAAAAAGGAAAGCCTCTGTAAATATTCAAGACCAGACAATCCAGTGATTTATTTCATAAGAAGTGTCCATGTGTGAATACACAATGCCGTTTGGGAAAGAGATCAAATGTAACACGTTATATTTGTAATAACACTTTCTCAGTGAGAGAGGGTTCGAATCCCGAATGAGACTTAACAAAATCTCAAATATCACATGTTTCATTTGACCAATTTCTAAATGGAATTGCATACTCATAGCCATTGGCCGTGGGAGCCTTGCCAATGTTCATTCAGCAGAGGAGTCCTCAAAGTATGTGATCTACACTACCAGTTGTCCGACATAGTTTGAGTGGCAGCTGCTGTCCGGAGTGGGATCTACACTACCAGTTGTCGGACATAGTTTGAGTGGCAGCTGCTGTCCAGAGTGTGATCTACACTACCAGTTGTCCGACATAGTTTGAGTGGCAGCTGCTGTCCAGAGTGTGATCTACACTACTAGTTGTCCGACATAGTTTGAGTGGCAGCTGCTGTCCAGAGTGTGATCTACACTACTAGTTGTCGGACATAGTTTGAGTGGCAGCTGCTGTCCAGAGTGTGATCTACACTACCAGTTGTCCGACCTAGTTTGAGTGGCAGCTGCGGTGGCTGAGTGGGCTAGATCACTGACTTTGTGTGCTGGCAACTCTGAGAGTGAAGGTTCAAATCCTGGGTGGGACTCAACCTGACAAAACTACTACTTGACTGAAAAAGTGTAATCCAAATTTAACATCGTCATTGTGTGGTGGGTAACCAAGTGGTTAATGCATTTGCTCATGACGTCAAAGACATTGGTTCGATTCACATATGGGTACAACATATGAAAACCATATCTTAAATCTGCTGCCATTTCTGCTGAAGGACCTGTGCAGAATGAGGTGATATGAGGTGAAATTGGGTTTAACGTCGTGCTGGAGAATATTTCGCTCGTATGACGAGGTGCATGCGTGTGTATGTGCGGCTGCTTGTACTAGCCCAGACTGAAGCTGGTTTTATAGTGCTAACCTACTGATATACCATGCCACAGTGAAGCATGAATACCCCACTCAGACACATTATACTGACTCCCAGCCGACCAGTCCTTGTTGTACCGATTAATGCCGAGCGCCAGGCAGGGACCAACAAGTACCATATTTTAACGTCTTTTGGTAATACGCGGTCGGGGATCGAACCCGCGACCATCCGCTCTCCGGGCGGACGCTCTAACCACTACACCACGGAGGCAGTCCCCACGAAATGTCTTTCCATCTGTTTGTTACTGTTTCATATTAGTTTATTTTTTGGATAATGCAAAAAAAAAATGTTGCTGGCGTGTATAAGGCTTTCCTTCTTCGGCAAGTTCGCTGCCAGTGAATTGAATTTGAAAATAACAGAAATGAAATTGACTCAAAAACATCATGTGTATATGAAATGAAACATTTGAATTATTTCATATATGTAGGGCGTCAAACAGAAATGCATACAATGCTACATATATGTTGATTGACAATAACATTATTTGTAACAAATGTCCTGTAAAGTATTAAAATACTGCTTAATCACATTTTTAAATACATACACAATTATGCTTGAAAGTTTCATGCGGTAAATCAATAATTCAAGAGAACATTTATCTTCGTACTCAATACCCTCGCCGAATCTGATCTCCCCCGTATATATTAGTACTGCATGTAAAAATCAATGCATGGACTAAAATTTGAATTATAAAAAGATTAAAAATAAACTGTCAATTCGTTACTGATTATCTATATAAGGTGACGTCAAAGCACTATTTAAATTTCAGAGAATTTGATCAATAGGTACGTACCGACCGACCGCGGGTGTAACGGGACCCCAGAGGTGGAATGACTTACCTGAGTGCATTTCATTCATAAACCCGGTACTACCACCCGGTACTGACGAATGAACAAAGAACACGCAGGTGGAAATACATCTGACCTTGTAACGATTTCAAGACATATTTGATGAATATTATCTTTTAGAAAAACAAGTAAAATATCGACATATACCTGGTTTGTTTTGCTATTTTATGTAGCAAGCAGATAACAACTCCAATTGGTCGTAAACTAATGCAATCGTGGTATATGTAAAAAAAATAAAATTAGTTATTTCCAAATGTATCCATGAACAGCGAATGCAAGATCAATATGTTGCTAAGATGTTTTAAAGTAATTATTATAATTTATCCATTTTCTGCATTGACTATATCATCAACGCAATTTTGTACATTCCATGCACACTGTTTGTCTAAGAAACGACCCTTGCAAAGTAAACCTGTGACTAATGTGTTCCTAAGGATGACGTTTGGAAAGTAGCTGCGTGACTGTCATTTGTTTGTATAGGGATGATTGCTGGAATATTGCTAAAAGCCACGTAAAAACTCACTCACTTGACCAATCACTCACCCGACCAATCACCGACCCAAACCCACACACACACGCTCGCTCGTTCGCCCACCCGCCCGCTCGCTTTTTGGCACTCACTCACTCACTCACTCACTCACTCACTCACTCACTCACTCACTCACTCACTCACTCACTCACTCACTCACTCACTCACTACTCACTCACTCACTCACTCACTCGTAAGAATGATCCTCAAAATAAACGTTTGACAGTCATGTGCCCCAGCACGGCCCAGACTAAACTAAATGTACGACTGTCAGTGTCTCAGTTTTCCGTACAGGCTATTTCACTTACATTGTAAAATAGTCTAAAACAAACTATAACAAGAGCATCCGTAGGGTATCGATCCACCCGATTCGCCTGCAGTGGGACATTGTCACTTGAAGCCCCAGTATCGATCTACGTTCACTGCTATTTCCTCCATCACAGCACTGCAAGACACTGGGCGACCAAACACGCCTACAGCAGCCGGGAAGATTTAGATTGTCATTTCCACAGCATTATTACTGGTTGACAGACAATGCCAAACTCCTAAAGATAATCATGTTGGCATTAAAACGTTTATGTGTCAGTAAAGAGGATATTCCACAGGGTACTCGATGTTAAAGCACATAGAACACGCCCAAATTTGATGGTGATTAAACTTGAAACAAACAAAAATGTTTTTCGTTGTGAAGTATTTGATACGGGTATCTTCATTCTATTTTAGACGGGGGCAGTGGGGTAGCCTAGTGGTTAAAGCGTACGCTCGTCACACTGAAGACCTGGGTTTGATTCCCCACATGGGTACAACGTGTGAAGCACATTAATGTGTCCCCTGCCGTGATATTGCTGGAATATTAATAAACCTAAAGTCACTCACTCTGTCTTAGATCTTCAGTTTCGGCGAATATCATCAGCCTTGTGACGTTTTGCTGACTTTTGTAACTGACTGACAGATCCAATATTTAAGTGTTTCCCCAACGACTCGACCTTTCAGCAAATGAGTGATTGGAATTTTACGCCGCTTTACCCTCTGTATTACTTCGTTGCCAGGGAAACATGTCACCTTGGCGACCCTCTTACTGGCCCGACTTTGTTATACTGTTGCCCCGTAGATACGTCACCATGACAACCTATTCGGCTCTCCGTAGTTTCCCGTTTCTCTGTGTTCACCCCAACGACAAACACCTTTCCCAAAATACCCTGTATGATGCCTCGCTGATGGTATAACAGAATGCTCTGTCACAAACCCTTACTCAAAGTTTTCCATTCGAAACAAATTTTGATTTGCACGTAATACCGCTTTCAAAAAATTAACATGATTCAAAGAATCTAACAGAATTAACAAAAAACTTTATTTTACCACGTTAAAGATTAGTCTAATGGTGTTTCAGTCAAAGTCCATTAGACAAATCTTGATAAAATAATTGTTACATGTACGTTCTGTTAATTCTGTTAAATTCAAAGTCTAATGACTCAGCCTCGAAACACCACTCAGTGGTCGGGTATACATTATCCTTTACGACCAATTTCAGTCGCCTTCAGTAACGATGTAAATTATTCCAAATTCTATTTCCTTATATCCGGTTACTCGGCATAGCTAACGACGCATAACCGCCTCAAACGCTCGTTCTCTTTTACATATTCCTAGCAGAGGAATACGTCCTTTCATTCGACAGTTGTATGTGGAGCAACTGAAAATCGACTATTCTAATACAGGCTATAGCCCTGCTGAAATACTTCATTGATTGTCAGAATCACCGGGTGGTGTGTTCCGAATGTGTCACAGTCGGCGAAGAAAGTGTTCTCACGCACACGTTGAATGCCGTCACGGCAGATATGGATACTGTACAGCACGCGTCTCGAACGCCCGAGTGATTGTGTGAGGTAGGTATATACAATATGTACACTCTCATTCTGTTATTACAATAACATACCTTTCAATATGTGCCAGATATGTCATGGTAGCTCAGGTGATAAGTAATATGATACTATATTGGTTCATATTCATGTATAATGTCCCACATTGCTGTAACAATACTTGTAACACAATATACATATGATAACACAATATATATACTGAAGTATGCACATTCGGCATTTATGTTATAACACAATTTGCTAGTACATATACATGTATAGTTTACTGGAGTTACAAACGTTTGAACGAGCTGCTGATAATTCTATACGAATGACACAAGTTGTTGACAATTCTATACGTATGACACAAGTTGTTGACAATTCTACATTATGACATAATTTGATGACATTTCTATACGAATGACACAAGTTGTTGACATTTCTATACGTATGACACAAGTTGTTGACAATTCATAGTTGAGTTGACAATTCTATACCTATGACATAATTTGATGACTATTCTATACGTATGACACAAATTGATGACAATTATATACGTATGGCACAAGTTGTTGACATTTCTATAATGTATGACACAATTTATTGATAATTCTATACGTAAGACACAAGTTGTTGATACATTTCTATACCTATGGCAC